TTATAGATCAATCTGCATTCACCGGAGACGATAAATTTCCAACAAATTTCATATCATATTTAATCAACGACTGTACAGAATGTGCTGGCAATTGATATATAATGCAATGCATGCTATAGCATTTTGTGATAATTAGGAACGAATTTGTGAAATAATAGGTTTTAAAAAGTGGACCTTTTGGAATTTTTTTTTTGGGGGGGGGTGGGTCCGCACCCTCTGCACCCCCTGCCTACGGGCCTACACCTGTCCTAGAGAAATAATAAAATTGTACATATACCCGGATTCTAAGAGCTGCCCTGAACATCGGTTGGCATGATAGAACTACAAACAAACTACTGTATGGCGCCCTACGAAAGGTCGGAGACAAGATAGCGTACAGGAGAATGACACTGGCAGGACACTGTCCTCGGCATCCAGAACTTTCGGTTAGCCAACTTATTTTCTAGGAGCCTAAACATGGTAGAGGGAGCAGAGGCAGACAAAAACTAACCTACATGAATTTACTTTAAAAAGATTCTGGTTTAGTGAACACAGATGAGCTAGCAGCCAGTATGCGGCACCGTGATGAATAGAGGATCCATGCAGGGCTCGGCTGTGGCCGCTAGCAGTAGTAGTAGTAGTAGCAGTAGTAGTAGTAGAGTAGTAGTTGCTGCGAAGCAGCCAATTCATATTCTTGACAGCAATTTGACCCCTGAAACGAGTGCCTAAGACGAATGAAAAGCGGAATTTCCTTCTTTCGTTCTGCCGGGTAAAATCAATTACTTTTTCAATCTACTCGTACCAACGTCCGCATGTCGCGCTAGCCTTCCTACTCTAGGCCTAGACTAGCTAGGATGGTATAGGCCTAGCCTTGAAGGGACGAAGGTCCCAATGAAAAACAACGTCGCTCTTTGATAGCTAACTTTGTCTATTTAACATCACAATAATTCATTATTAAACCTATAGTTGTTTTTTGAATTGTACTCCACAAATCTCAGCCGATACCTCACACAACTGACTAACGTCTCTATCTATTGTCGTGACGTCATGGCTCGCTGGCTCACACTTGTGATGTCTCGCACTTGTGATCAAATAACACGCTGACTCGCACTTTGGCAACACTCCTTGGCAGTCAACTCGCCCCTAGAAAACCCGCCCTTGGAAACTTGCCCCATAAAAAAAATGTACACTTCCTAGACCATGCAGTCTTCAAAATAAAAATTGTAATCTTTGGTAATCAACTACATTTTCCACATACATAGAAATTTTTGAAACTTTATTAAAAAAAACCTAAACCATAATTCACCACACTATAAACACTTTTTGACAAAAATGAAAAATTACGACCTTGTTACCCAATGAGAAGTGTTCTATAGACAATGGGTCGTGTCTCATATTATTTGTTATAGTTTCATTATTCATTATTTTCACTTGACTCGCATAAATAATTTTGTTCGAAGAACATTTATATGCAGTTGTACTTCGCAGCACTTCACTTGCAATTTGCAATTTCTAGTAGTAGTAGTAATAATAACAATAACAATAATAATAATAATAATAATAATAATGACTATGGTGATAATAATATATAATAATACTAATAATATTAAAAAGTGAAGAAAATTGTGCTAAAGGCGTAAAAGACTAGGCCTATAGTTAGGCCTAAGTTTTCCTGAATATTAATTAGATCCCTGATAAAAGATCATGAGAAATTTTTTGGCGCTTCTTTTTGACTACATAATGGTGATGTGATGATGATGAATTTTACTATATGAAAGTGTCATTTTTGGCAATCTAGATGTACTATTTCCTCAAATTGTCCGCACCTCAGCCCCAACCATGGTGAGGCTGAGGTGGTTGTGAAATTACGGCTTTCAAGTATGTCATACTAAAAGACAGTGTTTATAAACTTTATTTTCTATTGTACATCACACATATTAATAAGACCTCTATGGTTGCCGAAAATCTCTGATAAAAGATCAGGAGAAATTTGTTGGCGCTTCATTTTTACTAGGCCTATATAATAATGGTGATGTGATATGTTAAGCTACTAAAAGTGTCATTTTTAGTCGTTTAGAGGTACTATTTCCTCAAATTTTTGCACCTCGCCCCAACCTCATCAAATGTCCCCCTCCATCTTTTAAAATAGATCTGCACCCTTCCCTGAGTATGACATAAAACTCCATTGAGTCGGCACCTGACTCAGAGTATGACTTGGTGGCTGCTAGGCGAGGGTGCATAAATTTGTTTTAGTATGTGATCGGTTTTTCATGCTCATTTTTCATGATTATAACTGCAGTTGGATAAAGATCGTTTTGAGCAGTGGTGCATTCAAGGATCCCCCATCCCTGATTTTTTTTTAATGGAAAAAAAGAAAATTATATTTAAATTTAAGTCTGATAGTGTAATTTCTGGCCATTTAGAGGTGCCCTAATCATAAATTTTCTTACCTCAGCCCCAACCATGGTGGGCCTGAGTGGGTCGTTCCTAATTCTGTGAAATCCCTCCCTGGGTCACCTCTTTTTTGGAATTTCTAAATCTGCCACTGTTGAGTTATTATTGTTAGCCTTACTAATATTTATGATGTGTCTATTTTTCACTTTATCCTAGACTCAAAACAGTCCTGTAAAAACGTCCAGAGTGCG